TTCTAAAAACGCAATAATAATTAATTACGAGATCAGACCCTGATTTCCTCCTTTGAGAATAAGACTCCCGTATGGCAATAACCGTAAAAAACAGGATAACACAAGCAAAATCTGTAAACTCCCGTATCATCATTACCTTCACCCCTTCTTGCCAATTTCCATTAAGCCAATCCTCTTAACAAATTCTTCGAAGGCAGGCCTTGCCAGTGGCTTGGTGAGGCCGTCAGCTATATTGGCCGTAGAACCAACGTGTTCCATCATGATTTCGCCTTTTTCAACCAGATCGCGAAGGATATGGTATCTGATCTCGATGTGACGTGACCTCCTTGTCAAGGACTCCCCTTTTGCTAGATCTATCGCGCCCTTGTTGTCAACTCGCAGGTGCGAGCATACCTTCGCTTTCCCTTCTACTAATCCAGCATCAAATAACATGTCATTCAGCCAGATCACTTCGCACGCTGCCTCACTTGCCGCGATATACTCCGCCTCAGTGGTTGATTTTGCAACTGAGGTCTGCCGTTGCGACCGCCACGAGATTGGTGATCCGTTTAGCAGGATAATGTAACCTGTAGTTGACTTGTATTGGGGGTCTGCCCCTGCCCAATCTGAGTCGCTGTACGCGACAGGACTGAGTCCCCCAATCATCTCCTTCTTGTATAGGATTCCGTGATCCTTCGTTTTCTTGACGTAGCGTAGGACGTGTTTTAATGCTGCCCAGCATTCCTTGTGCGGACGCGAGTTGAAACGTGAGAGGTAGTTGACCGCGAATGCCAGATCTGGTCTGCTGCTTGACACCAAATACTGCAGCGATCCTAAGCCTTGACGATATCTAGTAGCAGTAAAATCGTCATCTAACCCGCTATCTTCATCTGGTGAGAATTCTAGGCGTATGCCGGCCGCCATCGGCGTGCTGGCCGGGTTGACCTTGTCCATTCCAAAATCCTCAAGGATCTCATCGATATAACGGTTCTGGGTAACCGCTAGGTCGCCGTTCATTTGACGTTTGACTTCCATTCCAAGGTAGGGCTTGTTCTCTTCGACATCCTTTGTCTCAAACCTTTTAGCAATCTCTGCCAATATCCAGTCTAATTGCTGCTCTTGGGGTCCCGTTACCCGACAGTCATCGACGTGCAATGTCAGGTAGATCTTGCGAATAGGGTGATATAAGAATCCGCCATCGTACGGCGAGATTTTGAATCCTAGAGTGGTGAGGTGTTCCGTCGCAAGGAAATACCACACCCTCGCTGCTTGCTTCATCCCGTAAAGGCTCTGGCGGAGCAGGCCAACCACGCCCCCCTGCCGTGCTTAATCCCTGTAGGCAGTTGCATATATACCATCTCGTGCTGCGGTAGTATGCCGTTCAAGAACGCGGAGACGTAGTCGATCGCCTTTGCCTTCCACCCCTTTGCCGTTGAGATTGCGAATAAGCTCCGTGACGTGGGTCCTGATACCACCGCGGCGTACGACTTTGTATAGTGGACTCCTTGTTGTTGGAGGAATCCCCTAACCACCCAGCGAGCTCTAAACCGGATTGTTTCTCCCTTATTGTTCAACTTGCGATCAAACACCCATTTACCAGTTAAGATATCCATGCCTGGGGTCTTCTCAACGACAATATATGTCTGCTTGTTCTCAAACATGCTGACCTCTTTCTTCATCGCCTCATACCAGTAGTCCCAATCAGGGCTCCTTTTGGCTTCCGCCACGGTAGTTGGGCGGTCAGTTAGGGTGCTCAGGACAGGATCGTCCTCATTGGCAGGGTCTTCTGGTTCATCATTCTCGACAAGTTCTGTCTCATTATCTAGAAGGTATGTTGGATCTATCGCACCTTCAAGATCCCCATTGGCAATCATCTTCAAAACGTCAGGTTTCACCTTTGCTAGGTGTCGCAGGAGGCAGTGTTGCCACCCATCAGCAGCATCTAGTACGTCCAATTCTTCTGGTAATTCGCTCGATTGCCTCACCACGTTCGCAGGCGTGGTTTCACCCTTGTCTAGTCCTTCGTCGAATACGACATCTCGCGCGATTTCAAGGCGACGGCCAATTGGGTCCCAGATACGATATTGGTGCAGTCCTTGGTAGCCAACTAGCTGCCATTCCTTGCCGTCAGTCCTATCCGCGAGCTTATTGGTAACCTTTAGGTTCTTCTTGTAGACCTTGCACCCCCACCTGCGTATCCAATGGGCAGTAGGTTGCACCCCAGTCCATGCCTCAAATGGCGTAAGCGGAACTACTTGCTTGCATCCGTATATCTTAGTTGACGTTGGGGACGTGTTGATCATCATGATCGCGGCTTGCATCGCCTCACCCCACAATTCCTTAGCTAGTCCGCTATCAAATAGAAGGCTTCTTGTCTTTTCTGCAACAATCCTGTTGGCGCGTTCAGCAGGGCCGTTCGATTGCGGCGTATCAGGCGTAGTCGTTTCATACGCAATTCCTCTGCTCTGGCAGTAGGCCTTCAGATCTTGGCCTTTAAACTCGCTGCCACCATCCCAGTGTAGGGTGCCTACACGGCGTTGCGTAGTTGCCTCAATGCCTGTGATGAAGTTCATTAATCTCGCGGTAGACTCACCCTTCGACATCATCAAGATTGCCCATCGGTATCTCGTAGCGTCATCTGTTATCCCTAGCCAGTAGCTAGCACCCCCCCTAGTGGGTAGGTCGTTCCCGTCAAAAAGCGTTTTTCCACCCCCTGCTAGGTCGATGAAGAGTCTCATCGCCGGCTTGGTAGCTCGCGTCATGGGCGCAAAGGTTGGACGTGTCATCTTTGCTTGGACACAGACTTTGCAAAACGGTAAAGCTCGTTGGCCGATGATTCTCATTCCTAGGCGTGGATCTGCTGCCATTCTAGCGATATCCGCGGGATTTAGATGCCCTAATTTTTGGTGCCACTGTGTCATTGTTAGTTCTATAACCTTTATGTCGTTGTTGGGCAGCGCCAGTATCGCGTCAGTAGTCCTGTCGTCCGCCATCGCGTTGACAGGTTCAAATTTGCCGTTGGACAGGGCGAATCGAATTAGATCCTTGAAGGTAGGCGGCTTCTCCACCTCGTAGATATCATTGTCGTTCAACTTCGCCGTGAAGGAGAACGTTCTATCTGGGGACATAAAGAGCACGGCGTGGTTGCTTCCATATGCCAACTGCTTGAAGGTAAAGCCCTGGCGTACGAGCTTACCCATGCTCATGAGGTTCACTTCTAATTTCGGGACGTAGCGGACGCCAGTTAGTAGCATGTCCGCCCCTTCAACGGTGATCTTCGTGTCGCCTATCGCTGCGGCAGGCACTATCGTTCCATCTGCCATTTCCAACTTGACAGTATATTTTTGGGGCTTTGCCACGACAAGATCTTTATGAGGTGTTGCGTGGGCACCCGCACCCGAGTCTAGAATCCAGGTATCTCTCGTGGGTCTTTCGCTGCTCATGTAGGCCTTGTCCGTCATACAGAATACTTGTTCCACGACGTTATGGACAGGAGCAGTGCCAGCATTGGTATCACCCTTGTCCTTATCCTTATTGGCGTTGTTGGGATTGGACGGACGCTTCTCTGGGTATTTCTTCCAGCATCGTTCTGGATATGACCGGTCTTCTGGCAATGGAAGCAGGTCCGTGTCTCACTGCCCTTCTTGTCAGATTTGGGGTCCTTCTCCTTCTCCTTATCCTTATCCTTGCCCTTCTTATCCTTCTTGTCGGATTTGGAGTCCTGCGCGTTGTTGGTAGGGTTCCTAGACGTGTCAGCATTGGATTCATCAGTTGTCGGAAGCCGCAAGAGGATATCGCGGCAAAGGGCCATGAAATCACTCTCTAAGGGTTGGGCGTTATCTTTCTCAATTTGGTCCATACGGTTCTTAATGAACGAGGCCCACCCTTTGCTTACCCCAGTAAGTAAGCAGTCAAAAAACATGAAATCTTCGACCCTATATCCTAGGCGGATATAGTCAGTCCTTATGGCGATCAAGCGTTCGATAAACGCGCGATCAGAGCCTTTTGACTTGGCTGTCATGCTTGTCATCTCCTTGTATAACCTTGTCCTTAGGACAGCAGGCCTTTCAGCGAAATTGTCCTCTATGATAGACCATAGAGAATACGCAGATAATTCGCAATCCTTGGGTATAGTAAAATGAGATTTTGCCTGTGGGGCAACTGATGACCACATGTAGTTGTATAGCCACATGTTGCGTTCTTTCCAAAATCGCTGCATATCAGTGCTGGCGTTATCATCAGGGCCTATTTGCTTCTCATCAAGGATGTCATCGGTTTCAGATTGCCTCGCTGCGAGGAGGATCTCTTCTTTCCACATGGGGTAGTTCCCAGATCCGGTCAGTACAACTGGCTTCCTTATGGGTCTCACTTGATCACGGAACTCATTAAGGATTTTCACGATAGCAGACGTTCTGCCTTTCCTCTGCAGATAGTTTGCTAGATCTGCACTGATGTTCTCATCACTTGTAGAGGCCTGACCCCTACCAGTTCTCATTTGTTGGACTTCATGTTGGAGTCTCGCGATCTCCAGTCTCATGCGAGTTTCTTCGCTCACATCATGGCTACTAGGGCCACCCGCGTTATCTGACATTTCGTTGTCGTTAACCGGGTCTTCGTATTCGATATTCGACTCGTTCGATTCCTCTTCGATTGTGTCGTCAGGTTCAAATGCCCCCGGGGCAGTCACCTTGTTGGTTGCAGGCGTTGGTAAACCTGCGTTCGATTCCTGTTGTGCCTCTGGCGTTTGGGGATTTCTTCTTCAGCGCGTTGTCACGTATTCTTTCGTCAAATCAGGCGTTCCACCCGATCTCAAATTAACCATGGGGTTTAAATCGTCTAGGCACGCTTTTAACGATGCGTGGAGACGTTGTTAGCACGTTATTTCAGCGGTTCTGTTGCTTCTAAGGGCCATAACCTGTGGGAGGATAACGTTGTTGTCATTACTAAAACTAACTACGCGAGAGCAACACAATATGTTGGGGGGCACGTGATAGGGTAGCCGTAGTACCACTAACACACCTTGCAGTCACGTTCGTTGGAAATATCCAAGGAGGCCCTGTGCCAAGAGGAACCAAGATTCAGCATGGCGCTTTCGGCTGCGGTTTATATATTTTCCTTTGCTTTGGGGACTTAACACACAGCCTTCGCAGGAGTTCCTCGTTTTTTCTTGGCGTGTTGATGGACTTGCATTTCTGCACTTCTGTGAAAAAGCAATTTTTGCAGTTTTTGCAATTTTACGTTTTCACTTTTTGACGTTTTGGTCAAATGGTGGCCCCCGGATTCCTATTTTCCTCACAAGAGGATTCTCCTGTGAGGATACTTGTCACAATATTTAAAGATTGTTAAAAAAATCATGTGTGCTAGCATCTGACAAGGCGTTCATCTCTCGGATGGAAATACAAGAGATTGCCTTTGTGAAACATAGGGAATTGAGAACTCTCACTTGAATCAAGTGGCTGTGGGTTGGTACGGAATAATACCAGCTCGAGGCCTACAACATGAGAAAAAGGTATACAGGAACTTCTGCTCTGGGACTACTCCTGTTCTGGGACTACTTCTGCTCTGCTCTGGGACTGCTCCTGTTCTGGGACTACTTCTGTTCTGGGACTGCTCCTGTTCTGGGACTACTTTTGCTCTGGGACTGCTCCTGTTCTGGGACGGGACTGCCTGGAATTGACCCAGGCACTGGCGTCTGTGGCATGATCAAAATGCGGGGAGATGCTGGGCCCCTATGGCCGTGGGTCCTTGGTCTCCACAGGACCACAGAAATCGATTCGATGGCCTCTGCCGTCCACAGGCCCGCATGGACACAAGTTGGCCGTCTTTGGGCTTACCAGGTCCATGGATCGCGGTCCATGGACCCGTCAGGTCTATTGGCTCCCTGCCCCAGCATGGCAACCTAGGTCAGTGGACCTGCTGCACATGTCCTTAAGCACTAGCCATAGTACCCTTCCATTTGGTCATTGTGCTAGTGACTACATGACGTAGTCCCTGGCCTTTTGTCAACTTTCTTCTGCCACTGTGCCTCTGGCCTGATTGGACTTCGGAGTACTTATGTCGGCCTTATTGATGGTTTCTCCCGCCGCAAACCTTTCTCTTCATTACGCTTCTTTATTTTTTCCTCTTCTCTCATCTGTAATGTACTTGTCTGTTCGATGTAATTGCTATCACCTTAACCCGTTATATGTACAAGTTGGCTTCCCCAGTGTTTGAGTTCATCTGCCGCGCCTCTCAGAAGAAATCCGCTTCCTTATCCTGTTATAAATCGCCTATAAATGTTTGGTTGCCTTTAAATTGCTCGAGCCTAAAAGTGAAAGCTTAACAATTGAATTCCTTTCTTGAGGACGCCAAGGTGGTGAATGGCTTGGCGCTCCCTGCCCCTGATAAAAATGGGTATTGTCAGACCCCGCACACCAACCAAATCACGCCTTGGCGTCCTTCTGGTCCGGACCGCGACGGGCACAGCTTTTGGGGGGATCACCGCTTGGCGTGGTAAGTCAGGGCAAAGGGCTCGACAGGAGTTGAGGTTAAGCACCAATCTGAGGCCATTTTCCAGGGAAATATAGAACATCGTGGCCTGGTCATGCCAGATGTCATTCTTAGATGTCCCCTATTCTTCAGAATATCGTGACTACAACATGAGAAGTCCAGCGCAAAATTATCATTCTGACATCGAATGTGGGCAGGCAAGTCTCCCTTCTGTATGCCCGCGATGGTTTTGCATCGTGTGTTCCAGTTGATGCACCTGGAAATGCCTGCCCAGGTCGACCCGGGATGCGCATCACTCAAAACAACCCCAAGGCTTCTCTTGGGGCGCGAGCCGATTGTTACTGCGGTCCTTTTGGAAAAAGAGGCCCTGGGGGCATTGCTCTCCCTGGGGACACTGCTCTCCCACAACCACACACTGCTCATATCTAATTTTTGAAATTTCACCACAACCGCGCGTGTATTTAAGCTTAAATTGACGTCATCTTATTAGCCTGGTTTTCGGCTACGGCCCGATACCCGGAACCATGGCTAGTAAGGCCAAGTGGCCCCAGTTGGGCGTGCAGCCGCAAAATCTGCATGAGCATGCAACCCAACTCATAGCAGAAGCGACAGCACTGCTAGCTCTAGACAAAGGACAACGCCAGAAACTACCAGATCAGTCACTTGAATCCTTTCTAAACAGTGTACAAGCTTATGCCAAGAAATCCAGAGCAGCTCCGTCCTCCCACGAGATCCTCGACAAGCTCAACCAAATCCATCACATAGCGAAGACAACCATCACAGACGACCTCACCCTCATCAAGAACTCGGTCAACCATGCTGCAACCCAGAATACCGCTAGAAACCTCACCTGGGCTGACAGAGTCAGGTCTAGCGGAGCGACACCCCCTCCACGAGCGACACCGCCCACACAAGCAAACAGCAAGGAAAGAGAGATCATAGTGAAGCTACGTAACCCCGAATCGGCCGCTCTGCTGCGACAGAAAACGCCAGGGGAGCTGCGTGAGAGAGTCAACAATGCAATAAAGGAACGGACAAGCACTGGAGAGCAGCCTGTTCAGGTCGTCGCTGCCAAACAGCTGAAGAGTGGAGATATATCCATCCACGCAGCAAACATTGCAGATGCCAACAGACTGAGGGAGGAACACAATCAATGGGTACAGGCCCTGGGCAGCGAAGCGAGGATTCTCAAACCTACATATGGGGTCCTGGTTCACTCGGTCCGCACGGATAAAGAGAATATAGATCCCAGCCAACAGACACAGTCCATCGAGAAGATCCAAACAGAGAACGCGGCTATACACCCAGGGGCGAAGGTCACATATGTGGGATGGCTGACAAGGACTGGAGTAAAGAAACCGACCTCCTCCCTGGTGGTTGAATTCACCACCAAGGAACATGCAGACCGAGCAATCAGAGAGGGACTAGTGCTGAATGCCTGCTACCACCACTGTGAACTCTACGACAGAAGCTGCAAGCTGAAGCAATGCTATAAGTGTCAAAAATACGGACACATCGGAACTCAGTGCAACGCCAACGAAACATGTGGATACTGTGCGGAACCTCACAACACGAGGGATTGCCGGAAGAAAGAAGAAGATCTAAACCCCACACCCAAATGCGCGCTCTGCAAGGGGCCGCACACGGCATGGAGCAATAACTGCCACATCAGACAAGCAGAGATAGCAAGGGTCGAACAAGCGAAGAGGAACCGTCCTTCGTACTACATCGGACCAGACAGCCCGACCAAGGTGACACCACCCGTACCGCTGTTCGCAGGCAACACCCTGCCGAGCACCGCCGAGCGACGCAAACGCCCGGCGGGAACCCTAACAAACGAACGCACCATAGCACGACCGAGACGAGCACTACAGCCAACAACATTTCACAACTTTACGCAGAAAGACTCTGACGTGTTCATATATAACAAACGGAACCTAGAAAGGGCAGTGGAGGATAGAGAGAGAGAAATGAGAATTGAGAGTGAAGGATCTACCTGGAATGGACGCACAACCATGGTAACCCGGTCAAGATCAGCATCGCAGCAGGCCCCCATAGACCCAAGCCTTATAGACCCTGCGCTGACCAGCTCGCAAATGACCATAACCAATGAATAGTACAAGCAACTTAAACATACTACAGTACAATGTCAGGAAATCTAAAGACAAGGTCATGGCCAGCCTGCTGAGGGATGAGAGGATCAAAGAGTTCGACGTGATTGCAATACAAGAACCGTGGCGGAACAATTTCACCAACACAACGCACTACCCACGACCTCAATCCTTCGACCTGGTGTACTTGGACGACCCAGGCACCCGGACGTGCATGTTTATAAACCGAAGAATACCGCGCGGCAGATGGACCGCAACTACCCCCTCTCCTGACTTCTGTACTGTCTCCATCCAGTGCACCGAGGCGCCCGAGGACACAATCCATATCCACAACCTCTACAATCCGGAGACCAGCACAGGGAACAGCACCATCCCCCTCCTGCGCAGAACGATAACCGAAGCCAACAGTGAGAAACAAATCGTGGTTGGGGACTTCAACCTCCACCACCCACTCTGGGGAGGCACAGGCAGCGACCGGGACGCTGAGGCGGAGGAGTTGGTCACACTCATGGCCGACCAACAACTGGAACTCCTGATCCCACAGGGCACCGTCACGTACGATGAACACAATAGACAAACCACGATCGATCTCGCTCTCGGTACACCGTGGATTCACGAGAGGAAGGCCTACTGCGGGCTCAGGGAAGATCTCGACCACCAATCGGACCATCAACCAATCGCCATAACAATCATGACAGCGGTTGAAACATGCGACCCGCCCGACCAATGGCAATGGCAACGGACGAACACACAAACACTGGAGCTAGAACTCCAGAGGAACCTACCCCACCCGACCGTCTTGGACTCAGAGGCGTCGGTGGACCACCGAGTGCAAGGGCTAGTTCACGCCATTACAAGGGCCATCGATGCCTCCACACCGAAGGCCAAACCAAGCGACCGTTCGATCCCTGGGTGGACGCAGGAGTGCAAGGAAGCACAGAGGACAGCGAGGCGCCTTCGAAGACGATATCAGAGGACGCGCCTCGAGAGCGATTGGGAGGCATACTGCCAGGCCAGGAACTACAAAGGGAGACTCATCAAAAAGACACTCCGCGACGCTTACCGAGCAAGGGTCAGGGAGATGAGCGATTCACCACACGGGCTATGGAGGCTGGCGAGATGGGCCCGCAGGCGAGGGACAAGGCAGGCGTTCACGCCACCTCTGCGCCGAAGCGACAACGACCTGGAGCACGACCACCAAGCCAAGGCAAACTTATTCAAAGAGACGTTCTTCCCACCCCAACCTGATGTGGATCTGTCCGACACTGCAAACCAAAGGTACAGCGACCAACTTACCCCCCCTCCTATCACAGAACAGGAGATAACTCGAGCAATCGGATCCATGGCCGCCAAGAAAGCACCGGGACAGGACGGCATCCCGGCACACATACTACAACTACTGCTCCCCTACCTGACACCCCATCTACTACAGATCTACAACGCATCCCTGGACCTACAATACTGCCCGGCGCACTTCAGACAATCCAAGACGGTGGTGCTACCCAAGCCCAACAAAAAGGACCGGTCGGAGGTGAAATCGTACCGCCCGATAGCCTTGCTGAACACCCTTGGTAAAGCCTTGGAGTCCATCCTGGCAACAAGGATCTCTCAGGCGGTCGAAGAACACCAGCTCCTCCCACACACGCATGTAGGGGGAAGAAAGGGAATGTCAACGGAACACGCGCTTCATGGACTGATGGAGCTGGTCTATCAGTCTTGGGACAACGATCAGGTAGCCAGCCTCCTCCTTCTGGATGTAACAGGCGCCTTTGATCATGTCTCTCACCCCAGGCTTCTGCACAACCTGCGCAAGAGAAGGATGGATGAAAGAATAGTCGGATGGGTAGCGAGCTTTCTACGAAACAGGACAACTACTATACAGCTCCGGGAGTGCACAACAGAACCTCTCCATGTGGAGACCGGGATCCCACAGGGTTCCCCGATCTCGCCAGTGCTCTACCTCTTCTACAACGCTGACATCCTGGAGGATGCGCCTCTCCGGGTTACCGGAGCAGCGGCCGGAGGTTGGATCGACGACATCTACTTCTTCACCAGCAGCTGCACCACCGACGAGAACTGTAGGAAGTTGGCAAGAATGCACGAACGGGCGGAGGCATGGTCGGCCACGCACGGATCAAAATTCGACCTCAAAAAATACCAATTCATCCACCTCACGCGAAGTCCAAGGAGATACGATGTACAACGGGCCTTGACCATATCAGACCTAACGATTGCTCCGGCGAAAGAAGTCCGCTACTTGGGTGTCATGTTGGACCAGCAGCTTCGATGGGGCCCTCAGATACGGCATATTGAAAATACGACGTCACAAACGCTAAATGCGTTGAGGTCCCTGGCAGGCTCAACGTGGGGGTCAGCGTTGGTTACGCTGCGGCAGGCGTACCTGGCCATAGTGGTCCCACAGATCACGTATGCTTGTTCCGTGTGGCATACGCCACGAGGCGAAAGAGGGCTCACAGAAAAGATGCGGACGACCCTTGACAGGATTCAGCGAGAAGGAGCAAGGATCGTAGGAGGGGCATACCGAGCAGCGTCGGGTGCGGCCCTGGACGTCGAGCTCTTCATAAAGCCCCTGCGTCTGCAGCTGGAGGAGCGGGCACATGACGCAGCACTGAACATCCTCACCGACAACCGGTTCCAGAACGAAGACGACAACGGCACCTCAGCATGGACCCCACCGATACGCGGAGACTCCCTCATCAGCCCACTAACGCGCCTCTACAACAGCCTCGAGACAACACTGGGAGAAGGAGCGGTCAGTCACCTGGAGTCGCGGATCCCATTCCCGGTAAAGCCGTGGTGGAGAGCGCCCACGGTCACTATCGCGGAAGATCGAGAAGCGGCGGAACGACTGCACACACACATTATCAGCGGAGCCGATCCACCACTAGCAGTCTACACTGACGGTAGCGGCATCCACGGGAAAGTGGGGGCTGCTGCATTGGCGCCGCCGATCCACACCCAAGAACTCGCTTATCTCGGCAAGGAAACGACTGCCACCGTGTATGCAGCCGAGCTTCTTGGCATTCTCATGGGCCTAAACCTAATCCTAACGTCAGACCGGCGCAGAGCAGCGATCTTCACGGACAACCAGGCAGCCCTGAGGGCTCTCCAAAACCCCAGAAGATCATCCGGCCAATCCATACTTCGGAGGATCATAGATGCTCTAGAGAGGGTCCGCTCCCAGGGCCTTCAGGTGGAATTCTACTGGATCCCGGCGCACCAAGGGATCGAAGGTAATGAATTGGCGGACAAGCTCGCAAAGGAAGCGACGGGCTGCAGACAACAACGAGGCAGAAGAGGGAGGATGATCACAGTGGACACTGATGACACCGCAGCTACACCTGACTTCCTAAGACACCTGATATCCGCAGCCAAGTCGGAAATTCACCGCCAGACCCAGGTACAGTGGGAGCGGGACTGGGAGAACGAGTCATCGGGGCGAGCCACCTACGCGCTCACACCCGCACCAAGCCCCACGGTCCTCCATCTACACCACTCCTTACACAAGGCCCTCAGTTCAACCATCGTACAGATGCGCACCGGCAAGATTGGACTACGACAATTCCTATATGAAAGAAAGGTGCCAGAGATCACTGACACCCTATGCGAATGCGGTGGCGGAAATCAAACAGTACGGCACGTCCTATTAGCGTGCCCTAGGTTTAACAACCTCAGAACGGAAAACGGGGAAGGAAGGGGGGAAAGGTTGGATCTCAAGGAGATCTTGACGACGCCTAAGCTAGCTAAGAAGGCTGCAAGATTTATGATCTTAACTAGACTCCTCGGGCAATATGGAGCAATTACGGAGGACAAAATACGATAAGGCATGCACTGAGTTCTTTCGGTTTATAGGACAAACAGGAGTCAGGGGGACCCACTGGAGGACCTTGGCTACCATCTAGACTGTATTATATGATGTATATTAGCTATAGATACCCATCGTCTGCATAGCTGCGGAAAGCGGCTGGGCCGGACGTTAAATTGAATAGAAGAAGAAGAAGACACTGCTCTCCCTGGGGCCACTGATGTCCCTAGGGCCACTGCTTTTGCCGTCCCTGGGGCCACTGATGTCCCTGGGGCCACTGCTTTTGCCGTCCCTAGGGCCACTAATGTCTACTTTTTGCCGTCCCTAGACAACCCCCCACCAGCCGTGGATGGTCCTGTGAGGCGGCTGTGCCTACCGGGTAATAAATATGCGTGGTTTCCCCTCAAGTCCTTCCGTTCTCTCTCCTCCTTATTATCTCGCCTGAGAATTTGGATCCGTCTCTCTTCCAATTCCAATTCCTTCTCCACCCACACCGCCGCGAGACACCAACCACCGAGAGGCCCTTGCGTACTCGAGGACAGCGAACATAAATAGACCGACAGCGGTGCTCTCCATCCCTCCTCTTTGTTTGCCTGGGCCATCTTTCAATCATGGCGTCAGCTGATATTCCCCACGACGGGCTTCATCACACTGTCATCATCAGTTCAGATTCGGAGATGGATGAACGCCAGCCCCCAGCGCGAAAGCTGCGAAGAAAGAGACCCCGCACAGACTACAACTATCCAATGTATGAGGCTCAATTTGACAACCCGGCACCCTCCGAAATGTGGCAGCCACCGAAAAGACGTAACCTGGGCATGGTATTGGTAAGACTCCTCCCTGTAGGGTCCATGGCGGGGCTCCTTCTTGGCTGATAATGAGATAGGAAACCGCGAACCAGGAAATCCATAACATTTTCAAGGCGGAGCATGCGCGGAGAGAGGATGTTATCAAGAGCTACTAGGCAAAACGGCTGAGTCTTGTCGTATGGAATGTACATGGACATGAAACGAGTGAAATCGAGATATTGAAGAGGCAGATCTGCACATGCGGGCTGTATTTGCACCTAACAGTTCTCCTGTTCCCCGGCTCGCTCTCCAGATGTTTTTAGCGCGAGGTTAGATTCCGATTCTGCAGTGATCTTTTATTTTATTTTTTTTATTCTATCATAATGGTAATAATTAGAGGATTCTACTGTATCCATAGCTAGCTAGGACCACTGAGAAGAGTGGAATTCAAAATGAATGGAAAGGGAAACAATAAAGAGAAAAGAAACAGATAAATAGAGAAAGATTGACAGGCCGGCTGTCAAGACCATCATAGCCATCTCTATAGAAGCGAAGAGTGGGGCAGGGAAGCGGATGGGTAAATGGTGTTTTAGAAGTGGATTGTTCTTGGTGAGAAGAGAACCCTACAGTTGATCAATCCAATAAAGCATAAGTTCACCTGCATGTTGTGCCTCCCATACATTCTGCCCCATAATGTCATCTTTGCAAACCATATCACAACATACTACTCAGAATACAACAGCCCCCGGGTCCTCCCTCACTTGCGGCCTATGTATGCACTCGGTGGACCAACTTCGCATGGCTCTGCACGTGCATCTTGTGTTCCAGTTTGATCTGGCACCAGCTGCACCACGCCGGCTCCCCGTCCTTGAGATGCCGGAGGTGCTCATACCGGAAATGGCGGCCCAGGTCCGCAGGCCGCGAGTATCGATGAATGCGCCGGTGATCCGACGACCTGGGGTGCGCGTAACACTCAAAACACCCCCGAGGCTGCTTCGCGTCGCGGATATGATCCTCGGCGGCGCGGAGAGCATCATCCCACCCCCCAGAAGAGGTAAACCTCACCGTGAGCATCATTCCCATCGTCGGTGCCATCGGGTGCCTGCGGGGGGTGTGGCGGCGGCGGTGGGGGGGCCTTTGGTCTCCGTCCTCGGCGCGGCCCACCCTCGAGGACACCACAGTACATCTGAACGGCATCAGCACCGGCATCCCGTCGCCGCAACTCCACCTCCACCGATCTAGATGTCGGCCATGTCAGGAGCTTTGAGAAAAGATAGATCATCTGGGGGAGCAACTGTTCATCCCGCAGCGTCTCCTTTGCCTCCTCGTCCACCGCCTCGCCGGAGAGCTGCCGTTCGATGTCGATCACCGCTTGCTCGTCGTCGAACTCCTCCCGAACCCGTTTCCGGTACTTATAGAGAAGCCGCCTTCTTGTCTTCTCGACATCGGCCCTTAGCTTCCCAAGCTTCTCAATTGTCACGGGATCGTTGGTTTGGGCGGCACGTCGTTCGACCCGGTCTCGCTTTTGGATGGCTTCCTGCAGCTCTGGGTCCTGTTCCACGATCGCCTTCTGCGCATCCGTCAGATGTCGTGGACGCCGTTTGTCGAGAAAGCGGCCGATCCGCGTGATGGCTCGCATCAGAGGGGAATTGGGGTCCAAGCCGCTGATCAGTGCCTGCATATTGAGGCACACATTGCGTGGAATATAGTGTTCCAGAAACGTGCGGATATTGGCATGCTTGAGGACTAGGTTCTGCTCGGCATCGCCGACCAATCCTGCATGGTTGGTTCCGTGTCAGCTTCTATCTAGGCGAAAAGAGATGAGGGCGTCTTCTTACCACTCTTGTTGAGGATCAGACCCCCGCCATACCGGCAGCGATGGTTGAACCAGGAGTGCAGAAAACCGGCGATCTCGGCTATCGTACGGACGGAGGACGAAGGGTCCATCATTTCTTGAGGGAAGATGCGGATCTCGCCGTTTACCTTCGCCACTTTGCAGAAGACATAGTGATTGGCCATCTCTGGCTTCAGCGGGATCAGCAGCTGCTGTCGGCCGCCCCCGATCTTCAGTCCTCTGAGCTTGGCCATCGAGGTTAGACTGGGAGGACTGAACGCTTCGAAGAAGAACAGGATTCCGAAGAGAAAAATATGCGGACTGAGGATCAGAGACGGCTCGTAGATGATCTCCGGCAGGGTGAACGTGTTCCTGGGTCAGACGTCAGCCAGTGTGCATATCCGGGGATGATATCAGGGAGAACTGACGTCTGTGTGAGGCCGAGGTGCTTCTTCGTAAACTCGTAGCTGAATTCCACCGTCGGAAGGTCAGGCCCCCCGCTGGGGTCGCGCTGGAGCGACACCCGCAGGTCCTTGAATCGCAGGTTGAGGATGGCGCTTTTCCGGTTCAGCGTGAAGAGGCCGAGCAGGTTGTAGAGGCAGATCTGCATCCGCTGCAGCCCAAGCCAGAATCTCTTCTCCTGCGTCCGCAGGGCGGTCTTCTGAAGCGTAGATGTGTCCTCGACGTACGCGGGGTCCTTCTCTTTCTCCTGTGTATCCAGCCCGTGCTTCTTGGCCAGCCGCCGAAGGCTCTTCCACGGCGATCAGCCTCGTCGATCGGCGCGCCCGATGGGGAGTGGGACTTACTTTCCGCATCCGCCGCATCAGCGGTCCGTCGAGCTTGGTGCCAGTGGCACCCTCATGGTAGCGCAAGAAGT